GGAGCTCATTTACACATAGTGACCACTAGGAGCTGAACACAATGGACCTCAATGAACTTGTATACAAAATTAAATGCAATATGTATGCAAAAATAAAAAGCAATTAGCAACAGAAGTATGCGCAGATCTATTGCTATCAGTTGAATTGCTAGATTCCAGTTGGTTTTCATGCGATGGCTACATCCCTGGTCATCTGTAAAAATACTAAGGCTAAAGTGTTGCACAAAAAGTTATAAAATTCTAAAATGTTGCATAGTAATGCCTCAGTCACATTTGATTTACGGCAACCGTACTGTGGATGTAGCTCTTCTCAAAATCAAGAAAAGTATACAACATAAAATATGATGTAGAATTTTTGTGTCGATTTTGTGAAGCTACTGCCACCATATGCCCACCATAGAGTAAATGTGACTGAGGCTTTAGTTACACGATTCTAAAATGGTGTATTGAAAATAGCAAAATTCTCCACATAAAAAATCCTAGGGAGAGTAGACATGAATTTAGCTTTTACTTGAGATTTTGTTCTAATATGACTATTGACCAATGGTGCCTCATATTCTAAATTAATTGCAATAATGATGTAATAATTCATTTTATAATCAGTTTTGAAATATGTGCAAATGGATTATATTGTGTGTTTTATTTCTTATAAGATGGAAAATAAACACATTTCCTGCAAATGATAGTGTCCATCTTATATATCTTCTTTCATGTACCTCCATTGTGACATGTTGGCCAAAGTTGACCAAGTATGGGATTGTAAATATAACATATAGACATGTGTGTATGTCATTGTGATGCAATGTGATTTATATAATTCTTAGGTATTCAGACATTTAATTGTCACAGCTATCCTTCAATAAAAGTAGCTACTTTTAAAATGACTATGTTTTCATTAGACAAAAATTGTCAGGCACCTATGTAGGTACCTGCTGTTTTAGAAATTCCGAATGTTATATTGCAATTTAATTAATTGAAATATTTTGTCAACTTCATTTCACAATTCTTTCTAACTAAAGGCTTGGTGAACTCTTATTTTCAAAGTTGATATAGAAATATAGAACTAGTGGTGAAATATAAATCACTACATTGTATCATAGATGAAAACCATGGATAATTTGGATTTATGATATTGGATCTGACAGTAGATGCATTATATAGATTAGTAGCACTTAGCCAACAAAGACAATCACCTGCATATAGAGAATTTGTATAAATCAACTCTATCATTGATAATGCAACTGAAACACAGTACAGGTAGTGACAAATGCCATGCAAAAATGGTGAGTTATACCAATTCTTAATTAATCTAAAGCTCATGTTCTAATTTTGTGTAATTATTTGAAAAAAGAAAACCATTTGTTTCCTTATTTCAAGAATTCCTTTAACTATCCTGAGCACAGAGGCTAGGTCCAAAGTAACAAATGGGAATTAATAAATTACCCCATTAACATAATAACTCAGGTTCAATTAGGCTAGTTCTCCCAGTATTTATACCATTTCTGAAACATAATTAATATTTAAAATGACGATAAGTCAAATGATCAAATATATTCCTAGAGGTCATGGTGCTTTTTCTTATTCTTATTCATTTATTATTAAATCATGAAATCACAAATCTTGGTACCTCACTACGGGACAATATTATAAATATATATAGACTAAAAAGGCAATATAACTTGAACTTAGGTGTATGTATTGGCAAATGTATAGAGGACACGTTAGAAATAAATCTGAGGTGCTGTATCATAACATGTATATGGTCTTTCGCATATCTTGAGGCAACTCTTTCAGTCACATGGGCGTAGCTAGGGGCTGCGATAGGTGCGACCCACCCGCACAAAACAATAGATTGTTCTGATAAATTCTGCCACTATATTACAAAAACTACGATATATTGGCTAAATTGATGTTGTCATTGGTTGTACATGTAGTTAGAAATCTGACCATGTATGTACAAGATTAACTCATTGCCAATTTTAAAAAATACAACCTATGACATCATCAAGCTAGCCAAAGCCAATATCCAAGTTTCTCTCATGTATTAAAAGGTGGCAGGATTTATCAGAAATATCTATTTTGTAAAATTTTGTGAAAAACATAACACATTCACAACACCATCGCGCCCCTCTTGATATTTGCTGGCTTCACCCTTGAGTTATATACCAAACTGACCATATTGTCTTGTGGTTGTAGTGCTAGTCTGCAAAAATAATAGTTCTGATGGTGTGGGTATATTAACTTTCAGAACTATAACAAAATATTGAACAAAAACATTTTAGATTATACTGTATATGTTTATGTTAACTAATTAATGTGTTAAATAGGTACAGTTAATCAGACATGGTATTTGTCAACAGTTATCAGCTTTTACTTCTAAACCTGACACAAGTTCTGAAAGAGATATGATTTGGCTATTTTATTCTATTTATGTTATGTTGCTTTGAAATAGAAAAATATACTCACTGGTCTTTCACATAGTCTCTATTTGCTAATTTCTATGGAAACAGAGAATGAGTTGTGACATTAGGAAGTTGATGCAAAACTGTTGACATTTGGCAATGTAACACATTAACATACAATAAGTAGCTGCATTCTGTGTACTATAATACTCTTTTCAAGTGTAAACATATAAAAGGTAGCTAGATGTTAAAAAGGTACCTAATGTTACATGTATTATAGTTATTTGGGGAGACCACTTGGTTTCCTTGGAGTGAGGGTCAAGGAGGAAAGAATGAGGTAGGTGGTGCATCGCCTTGGAAACAATGCATGTCCCCTACCCTGTTTTTTGTTTTTAGTTTAACCTGCTCAAAATATGGTTTGTGAATGTTCACTCAGAAGATTCATTAGAATTTGTAGTTCAAGACTGGGTCTGGAGGCCATAAGGATATTTTTTACTGAAATTCATACCACATTTTAAGCTCACATGTGGTGAGGTCACATTCTGAATTTGAAAGTCATACCTATTTTAGTCTATCTCAATCTGGTAAAAATGTTACTATGGCAACCAACCCAATGTTATTGATTGAATCATAGGTTAAAAGATGTTGCTTATTCCAAGAAAATAGACTGCATATTACCTTCATTTATAAACGTAAATACAACATTGCATTAGATTGTTTAACATAGTTAAATGATTTGACTAAACCAAAATGTTTTTTAGAAGAGTATGTAAATATTGTGAGTTGCAATTCGATTTATACAGCTTTATTTTTGACAGACAAGATGTTAATATTTTCTCCTCTTCCTCCACTAACAAGTCAAACATTGACAGTTTGTTTCAATATGTAGTAGAGAACACTTCTTTCCAATTAAACACTGCAGTACTAATTGTTGAAACAATAGGAACCTATGAAAAATGGCAACAATTGTATATATAGTATATAACATATTACACTCTCATGAAATTTAACAAAAATGTCTAAATCATTTCTTTTAATATGAATTGGTTATGATAAGCTTCAATATTATCTGAGCAATTTCTTCACTGAGTTATATAGTTAGTGTTGCATTTAGTGGACATTTATTGTTTAGTTCATGATTCCCACAACTGATATGCAGTCTAGTTCACAGCCATTTAGAATTTTCTGTTAAGTAAGCACTGACTTTTCTTGCAGCTGTGTACTTGACTGTCTATACAGTATTAGGAGTTTGTAATCTTAGGCCAACTAACATCATCAGCTTTTGCTTCTAAAATATGAAGAACATAAATGCTCTGTAGGATATAAGTTGCATGGAATGTTACTGAATGCATCAAATTTTACTAAATTCAGTTCCGACAATTAAGGTTACAATATCTAAAGGAATATATATATATATTGTATTGTCTATATTATCATCCCCACATGTATCATTATCATGTTTTCTTTGTTTTTCATTGTAGTTCTTCATTATCCTCTATATATAAAGATTAAAGCTGATAGAATTGTCCAAGTCAGTTGTTATAGTTGCACAATTTTATCAAATATGTTTCAAGTATGTTGGTGTGAGAAACCGATCATGTTTCTTAGCTTTCATTAACGCCGTTTTTTTCGCAATATTCATTAAAATTTTAATCCTGGGACGGAAAAAATATCTGACTTCACGTATCAAGAAATGCAGATTTAAAAAAAGAAAAAAAATTTTGTTTTTTTTTGCACTTTCTTCCACTTTCACTCCAGTAATTTAGCTAAAACTTTTCAAAACATAAGATGAAGTGTTTACTTACCATACAGATTCTTACTTTCCCAAAATAATGTCTGAAAAATTTGCAATTTAAAGATTAAATTTCCGAATATTTCAGAAAGTTTTTCTGTTTACGGTTTGTGATTTGAGCAAGAGACATCAACTGGAATGTTCCAATTAGTAAACTTCCTCCCTCCTATGAAATTTGCAACTCCCATTTATAATTTTAATCATTCGGGGAGGAACACTCTTAAATGGAACAGCCAATTCAAACTTGTAAAGCGGGAAATTTGAATGTTTATGCTACATGACCTGTTTTAATTTGATCTGATCACATGGCTACAATAAGTTATAATAGTTAATATGAGCTCATATGGCATAGTAGAGAAATAATAAAGATAAGAAAATGTTTGAAAAAACATCTAAGTACATGGCGTAGCCTACACGTATTGTTTACCAGTCAAAAGGAAAACAAATCCCAACTATCCCAGATCATAATCCAACATCAGAATCATTCAACCTAGTTAGAAAATTACTATTTTTGGAGTGGAAGTTATGATAAACTGAACTGAAACTTAAAACTTTTTGTCATCATATTTTGGGACCCACTTTTTCTAGCCCGGACTCAGATTTTTTAAAATGTGGGGTCTCAGGGACCCACATTTTTCAGACCTTAATGAAAACACTGTTCCAGGATGACTTGACCCCGTTCTCTAGATGTGAAAGATATAAGATGGTGAATTCATTGTTGACATAATTTCATCCTAATTTAATATTTGTAGTATTTTAACTGAATGTTTGTGGTGATATTAATTTGATTCTCTTGTGTGTTTTAGGTGAATGTCCGGGTGATGACAATGGATGCAGAGCTGGAGTTTGCCATCCAACCTAACACAACTGGCAAACAGCTCTTTGATCAGGTAAATTTCACAAGTTTTTGTCTTGTGTTTAACAAAACCTTATATTCTGAGTAGGAGGAGGGATACTCCAGAGTTCAAAGATGACCTAAACATTAATGGAAATTTACATAGAGGTGACCCTCATCATAGATTGGTCAAACAGCATTGGAGCTAATAAAAATAAAACGGCAGATTTGATTTAGTAAAACACTGATAATGTTAATTTCTGGTGTATTATTGGATTGGGACATGGGACAGAAAGGATTAATATCGGGATAGAATCAGAGCATAAATTCTTTACTTAAAAATGCATAAAAACATATATAAATTGCGAGAAACACCTCCTCAAAATTTGTCAAAATATTTCCGCTTACCTAGTACACCTATTACATTTCGTAGTGGACCTGTGATTTCAGGTTGATGGTAATACTGTTTGTAAATTTTCTACATCACCGTCCGCAAATCGAGAGTCTTATCAGTATGCCTTCCCATCTGAAAGCAGTTTGTCCCTAGACCATTTGTACTGTTCTGTCCCCTTCAGAAATTTGTTGGCATGTTTACTTGTTATTTCATATTAAAATAAAGAAAGTTGCAAGGAATATGTTTACATTGATTAAAACATTACATTGACATGTGGTATTCAGAAACTAGATTGTGGAAATTCTGACAGCAAGAGAGGTAAATTACTCAGATGCGAGTAGGTAGTTACTAGTTTCGCTACCAGGTGGCTGATTAGGCGAAATAACATGGCAGGGTATTACAAAATTCCTTAGATTCATCAGATTTAGTGGTTCACTTTTCATATTACCCTTATGGATCTGATAGTTATACAAATTAAAATATGTCCAGTAAAAGAAAATATTATCTGCCCAACACAAGAAAACATACTTCACTTTTTGTGATTTTACAACATGGGGTCTTTGGGGAATCTTCCCAACCTAGAAGTCACATTTTCATAAAAAATTAAATTTTCAAAGTTGATGAACTCTTCAAAACTACATTTCTAGATGTAATTTTACATGTAGATTCCAAATATGACATCAGTTTGACTGAATTTTGAATTTTTAATGACTTAAATCAAGATATTTCTTCTCGCATCTTGGATATTTTGAGATCTTATCTGAGCTCTGGGGTTTTCCTTTCTGAATATAAGGTAGTTGGGCAGGATCCAAAAGCGCACGGTAACCTATTTAACATCTATACAGAACCTACATAAGCATTTTTTTATTATTAACTTCTAAGGCTATGGCAATGTTATGTTATATGTATGTAAATGTCATATGCTTTCTAGTGATTATCAACACATTTCAATTCATTGAATTTATTATGATACAGTTGAATTTTCAAAGAAATCTCACTTCCACATAGAGTCAAATTGTTCACCATGTTGAAAAGAAACTGAACAATGTATATATGGTATGGTAACTTGATGTATTTCGCTTGACAAAACCTAAGCTTAAAGTCATAAAAATAAAATTTGGAAGTGGCATATATAAAGGCAGGTTATAATACGTACTCAAGACACTTGAAATGTAAGTTGAAGTCTTACATGGTGATAACTCATAGACTATTTTATTGCCTTGTTTGATGTTATAACTTTTGAATGAGTGCTAAAGATAGTGACTACAGTTGTTCTTAACCAAAGTCCGACAGCCTTACATCTCTTAATAAGTAAAACATGTGATGTACACCGAAACTTGAACACCCTGTTGTTGAAATTAATCCCCTCCCCTTGACTTTTGAATTTACTTTTAGCCTATCATTCAAAATAATGATTACAACTCTCATCACCTATATTCTAGGTTTGGGGTCTCAGTAATCCCCTCATTATAGATTCTCCAATTGTTCACATGTTCATAAACATATTGTTTTATTTTTTTAAAGTTAGCTAATCATGTTAGCTTTATGCCATCCTCATTTTAATTTGACATATATGAGATATGCAATATATGTACTACTAAATAAATGTTTACTTCTATAGATGCTATATGACTCCCAGCTACATGTTAATGTCAATGAGATGTCTGTTCTCTTGGTTTACTATGCATCTGTATGTGTTTATCCATGTTAAATATAACCAGAGATGAATCAATTTTCTTTAATTGAAAAATTCCCATAATTTAATTTGCAAAGATAGACCCATTTTTATAATAATGATTAGACAGAATGTGTGAAGCCTCTGTGCATGTATGGATTTTACTCAGTTGATACCATTAATCTTAATTATAAATGTCAGTTCACTCTCAATAACTTAAGTAGCTATCAAAAGGGTAATGCAAGTTTTATTATACCATGGCAGTTTACCACTCCATGTAGTGTGTTACAGAATATAGATTTTATTAGTTATCTCAATTGATTTAACAAGCATTTACTTGAAATCATGATATACATTTCCGTTGCTTTGAAATTTTGACATTCATTTGTTGCAGGGGTTAGGTCAGTATGTAACTATTTCTTTCTCTGGGGACGGCCAATGTATATTGTGTATAGCAATGATTTTGAGTTTATTTTGTTTATTTATTTGCAGGTGGTCAAAACTATAGGTCTGCGTGAGATCTGGTTCTTTGGGTTGCAGTACATAGACAGTAAAGGCTACACAACTTGGCTAAAACTCAACAAAAAGGTATGTTTTTTGTAAATTGAGCCTCTATGCATATGTTGCAACATTTGCATAACAACAGTCAACATTTGCATGACACTGATCAACATATTTCTTTTGTTTAGTAAAGTCTACTGACATCCTCTTCATCTTATCAGACTTAGGCATTCCTCATTGTAATACATTTTGAAAAATCATCTCCGTATTACTCAATGATGTGTTGATGTCTTGATGTTAGTGACAGAAATTTGGATATTTTCTTTTTATTATTTCAGGTTTTGAGTCAAGATGTTAAAAAAGAAACACCACTTCAGTTCAAGTTCAGGGCTAAATTCTATCCTGAAGATGTATCTGAGGAACTTATACAAGAAGTCACACAGGTATGCAACAAATTGCTTACTACAACATCATAACATATATGAAATATTATATGAGAAATGAAGGGTTTATATCATGAAAGTGCCAAAAGAACCAAAAGGTCAAAAACTATGCACCTGGATCACTGATAAAAGATCCATGTTTAGATTCATATATCATATAGTTAAGTCAGTCCAGTCTTATGTGTTTAAATCTTCCTTATTTTGTCATAAATCATCAAAGTAAAGGATAACACATTATGAATCAATGGTTAAAAATGAGCATTATGCATATTGAATGTTAATATATTCTGTAAGATTTAAGATAAAGTAAAATACCTTGCACTTAAGATATGTCTGAAAGCGACCTCACCCATAACCTATACATGTTCCATGGCCTTTATATTATCAGCTAGCACCTCTTCATGTCTAAGGGAGTTCGATATTTGATTTATTGAGTTAACATCTTAAACATTGTCATACATATATAATTTATGATTCAGACTTTATTGATAAAGATGTTTGCATATGTGATATATATTTATGCAAGGTTTTCTTACAGATTCTCCATAGCGCTCATATGTAATAACGCTAAGAGTATTGATCATGTAGCCTCTTAGTTGTCTCTCTTGTCTCTTAGTTTATGTGATGAGTAATATTATCTCCACAGATTGCAAGATTGGTGTTCCTAATTATCCCAACGAACAAAGGGATTAAAAGAACCTGTTCGTCTGTCAGTATGTTTGTGTGTCTGGGCGATAACTTAAATACCGACTCGATTTGTTCAAATTCTACATAGGCTATTGCCTAATGAGCATAAGACCTCTGATTGAAAAGAAATTTTCAATATGGTCACTGAATTAAAAATGGCCTCTATTTTTCGTAAAAAAATGTATTCTTTTATAAGCTAAAGTTAACTGATTCAGTTGAAATCTTATATGCTGGTACCTTTGGAACATAGGCCCACCCATTTCAAAATGACCACTGTTAATTAAATCTTTGATAACTCAAATACTAGTTGGCAGAGGAGAGTTGTTGTTTTTCTAGTTAACTGTTCGTTCATGAGAATCAACCAGTTTGAAGTAAACAATCTGAAGGTTTATTTATAGAAACAATGCCATATCACCTTACTTTCCCCACATCTGGCTAAGAAACTGAAGAGAAACACTAAGTTAAATGACTTTCATTTTGTGATCTTAACTTATATGAAGCATATTTTGCTGATGGGCATTCAGTTGCAATGCAACATTGTCATTATTAATTGTTTCAACTATTTCCATGGAATCTTGGTTTGAAAACTATTACCAGTTTAAGATTTGATTGACAAAAAAGGAATTACAAAAAAGAAATCAGTTCCAGGACTCTTAATTTAGACTTATTATCCCACCAAACGAAGTTTGTAGGGATAAAGAGAAGCCCTCCATCCTTATGTTCATTTGTCTGTCTATTTGTTTGTTTGTGCGATAACTAAACTGCCAGTTAATGGATTTGGTTCAATTTTATTTTCAAGCTGGCAGCTGAATTTTAAAATGGCCTCCATTTTTCAAGAAATAATGTAATCTTTAAAAACTCAAATACCATGAAGCAATTTATTCTTGAAAAGGTCCATAATGACAAATATGAACTGTCCATATGAAGACAAATTCAAAAAAGAACTAAGAGAGGAGGCAGCGCAGACTTGACTATCAATACAATGCTAATTACTAAAGATAGGATAAATGCGCAGTGTCAGACTAAGCTGTAAAGAAAGGGATATTGCAGCATCTTGTAAATATTAGAAATTCAATCCGTTGGTATTTACAGACCCAGTGATCAACCACAGCTTCACAGCTATATTTTCCTATCGTCAAGACCCTTCTATTAGGTGTGATACTGCATTGTGAACCTTGCATGCAGACTTACAAAAGACATTTATGAAATTGCCATTAAGTTATAAGTATGTAATACAGCATCATTCTATATTTATATAACTCCTTTGAAGCCCAGTAAGGTGTAAAACTAATATGAACAATATGTTAAACATATATCATTACACCAGTACTGTCCAGAATTTTCCATCGAGTAGGTGCAAAATTTTCATTTTTACAGTTCTGGCCAAAGTTGGACAAAATATGCCAATTTTCATGAATTTTCAAGGGGGTGTGAGCCTGTTTTTACAAATATCAACATTATCATACTAGTTTTGGCAGTTATCATGGGATGAATCATGACATTCAAGATGTGGAACTATGATACATAACTTCAGACAGTCCTGTAAAATAGATATTTGTGTAATATGAACATCTATGCAATCTAATATAATGTGTTATCTCTCACTCACTTTACATTATAGTGGAATTTACATCCAAGTTTCCAAGGAATTTTACCAATGCCGAGTGGCTTCATATATTACATAACAGTTTCTGTAACTTCAAGGTGACCATGACATAGAAAATGAAGATAGAATTACTTTTGATAAGAACTTACTTTTTCCTTGTAAGTGAGATGGATGATTTAGGTACAAGAAAGATCTTGGAAAATCTTCAGAGAGTCATTGCTCATTGGTTGTTTCCAAACACATGGTTTAATTTCTTGGTAATTCAAATGGAACTCCCCATGTTTACTGGAAGAATGCCTGCAAGCTTGATAAAATATAGCTGTATATAAAATAAAAATATACATATATATAATTAGCAGAAAATAGATATTTGCAATGATTATCCTAGATATCTGTATTTACTTTCAGCGCATGTTTTTCCTGCAAGTGAAAGAGTGTATTTTGAATGAAGATATCTACTGCCCCCCAGAGACCTCAGTGCTACTCGGCTCCTACGCAGTGCAGGCCAAATATGGCGACTACAACAAAGATGTGCACAAAACTGGCTTCCTGGGCAATGATAGACTTTTACCTATGAGGTATGTCTTAGAAATATATGAATGAATATATGAAATAGCTTCCCTTTCACTGATGATATGAGGGAGGTTTCGCCTCATATCAAAATGGCTGCAATGAAAAAAAGGCGCATTTGGTAAGATTTTTTCTTTTCACGATTTTGTGCTTTTGTCCTATTACCACTCAATATTTGGCAAGTAAGTGGTTTGTGAGATTCGGTTTCAGAATATGACTACACCTTAGAAATGAATGCAGTCATTGATTTGACATTTGCAATCCGCTTCCCTCGCTTAGGAAATGGGGAAAGACAAAACCTCCCTCGTTTCCAGTTCATCCCCAGTGCTATTGCAGAGTATAATCATAATGCTATTGGTTATCGGACAGTGAAAAACTTCATAATCTATCAACCAACGTTTCTATGACCTCCTGCCCCTGGTAGATTAAATGTATAGAAGAATCTTGGAGAACTCTTTCTGCTGACCTATCTAACACATAAGATACTCCCCTTCCAACAGACCCACATGAATTGGTTAATGTTACGCAGTTTTCATACTTTTAAATTATATCATGCGTTTCTTTTCCAACACAGCCAAAATAAGGTGAAAGTATTTATTCTTGGGTGTACAGGTTGCCAAGTTTGCTTGTACTATGAGGTAGAAATCTTGCAATCTTGCTTGGCTCGAAGAGTATTGTTAATAGGTGACAGCTTGTAACAATACTTTTATACAATCTAACTATTTACTTGAATCAAGTTCAGCACGAGCTACATTATAGCAGCTGTATTTCCTAAACAGGACCAGGAACCAAGCTATATTGACAAATTCATCGACTGGCTATGTGCAGTATTATTGCCTTCATATAAATTACATGAGGCACTAATGAAGTGCTGGATGGCTCATAAAATTGAAATGTCTTCATTACTCTGTGACAGCTGCCTTGTATTAACAATTTAAAATAGAACATATATGTTGTATCAGGATGGTCATATGATCAGTGCATTAACCTGGCAACATTATTCATTAATCCCATGCTCTAAAAGCTTACATGTTCAATTGTTCATGGCCTATTTTGACAAGTGTGCATTAACTACATCTGATTAATACAAAACTACTCTCGGACCCAGCAAAGATGCCTGTTTATGTATTATGACCTGAAAATGAAGTATATATAGTCAAATCCACTGCAGCCATTGCATCATTTTCATTTTGGAGATTATAAGTTGAGAAATAAATATATATTAACCATCTCAAGGCCAAGTTAAAGGTATAATCCAACTCTATTTATTAGACTCCAGATTGAAAATCTGGAGTCTATTGCTTTTGCCAGTTTTCTTATTATTATTAGACTCCAGATGAAATCTGGAGTCTATTGTTTTCGTCAGTTTTCTTCTTCTTATTAGACTCCAGATTGAAAATCTGGAGTCTATTGTTTTCGTCAGTTTTCTTATTCTTATTCTTATTATTCTTATTATTATTCTATACCAGTTTTCTCAATAACCATAAGGTTTTCAGTAAAGTCAGTCATTTGGTCAATTTAGGTCCAGAATCTAGTTCCTCGGAAATTGGGTCAAATTTTTATCTAGGTCAAAGGTCAAGAACTAGGTCAAATCCAGTACTCTGTCACTTTTTTCGATTTTCTCGGTCGTCCTTCAATATTTTCGATCCGGTTTTTTTTCATTGTGTTCCTTATAAAAAAGTAGGAAACCTAGGGTCGATTTAGTTTTTTGATATCTCAAACCGATTTCGAGATATCAGTGTCCGAAAACGAGGTCCAAAAAAAAGTTCTCCGAATCAAATGTCCAGGATATTAGTCTTATAGGAAATTTTCTCAGGATTCCGAATCTGAAAACGAAATTTGGATCTGACTTCCAGTTCGGAAGTTATGGCGTTTTGAAAACTCAAAAATCGCTAAATTTGGTGCCCATGTTAAGTCAATGGGAAAAAATATTTTTTTGAAGTGAAAAATACAGAATATAGACTGAGTTCAGCTTCATATAATCAAAGCCTTCAAAAGAAGGGGACCTCAAAAGCCATCTAGCTTCACAATTTGGACACCGAAATGCCTAGGTCAAAATCTAGGTCAAATTCATAGATTTTCCTTATTTTTTCGATTCTGACACTACACTTTAATTATATTCTTCGAAATTGTGTATACATGTAGCCAAGAATATGCTAATAGTGTTAGCCTTTTGCCGTCAGAAAGTATTTTGACCCACTTTTGAGATATGGTGTCCGAAAAGTAGGTCAAAATAAAAAGTTCTCCAAATTGAATATATGAGTTATGAATTAAGGGTACAATTTTGTCAGGAATCCGAATCTGCAAACCAAATTTCGATCCGATTACCGGTTCGGAAGTTATGGCGTGTCCGAAAAGTAGGTCAAAATAAAAAATCTCCAAATTTAACGTATGAGTTATGAATTAGGGGTAGAATTTTGTCAGGAATCCGAATCTGCAAACCAAATTTCGATCCGACTTCCGGTTCGGAAGTGATAGCGTTTTGAAATTTCGAGAAAAATCGATCTGATGGTATCCTGATAGAAAGTCAAGAGTAGAGAAGAAAATATTGAAAAATTCATCCATCCTCCTATCTCATCCTACTCTATCCTTCCTATCTATCCTTCCTTCATATCTTTTCCTTCCTATCCTTCCTATCCTATCCTATCCTATCCTTTCTTCCTATTCTATTCTATCCTATCCTTCTTTCTTATTCTATCCTATCGTTCTTTCCTATTCTATCCTACCTTCCTATTTTATTTATCCATCTCTTTCTAGATGACTCAGCTTATTCTGGATGACTCGGCTTATTCTGGATGACTCGGCTAAAAAAAGTCTAGATCTGGAGTCTGAAATTGAACTTCGTTCAATTTCCAAAATCTAGTTCTTATTCTTATTATTCTTTTTCTAAACCAGTTTTCTCAATAACCATAAGGTTTTCAGTAAAGTCAGTCATTTGGTCAATTTAGGTCCAGAATCTAGTTCCTCGGAAATTGGGTCAAATTTTTATCTAGGTCAAAGGTCAAGAACTAGGTCAAATCCAGTACTTTGTCACTTTTTTCGATTTTCTCAGTCGTCCTTCAATATTTTCGATCCGGGTTTTTTTCATTGTGTTCCTTATAAAAAAGTAGAAAACCTAGAGTCGATTTAGTTTTTTGATATCTCAAACCGATTTCGAGATATCAGTGTCCGAAAACGAGGTCCAAAAAAAAGTTCTCCGAATCAAATGTCCAGGATATTAGTCTTATAGGAAATTATCTCAGGATTCCGAATCTGAAAATTAAATTTGAATCAGACTTCTAGTTCGGAAGTTATGGCGTTTTGAAAGCTCAAAAATCGCTAAATTTGGAGCCCCATGTTATGTCAATGGGAAAAAAGATATTTTTGAAGTGTAAAATACGAGATATAGACTAAGTACAGCTTAAAATAATGAAAGCCTATGAAAGAAGGGGACCTCGAAGGCTACCTAACTTCAAAATTTGGACACCAAAATCCCTAGGTCAAAATCTAGGTCAAATTCATAGTTTATCCTTATTTTTGCGATTCTGACACTACACTTTAATTATATTCTTCGAAATTGTGTACATAAGAAGCCAAGAGTGTAGCCTTTTGCCGTCAGAAAGTATTTTGACCCACTTTTGAGATATGGTGTCCGAAAAGTAGGTCAAAATAAGAAGTTCTCCAAATTTAACATATGAGTTATGAATTAGGAGTAGAATCTTGTCAGGAATCCGAATCTGCAAACCAAATTTCGATCCGACTTCCGGTTCGGAAGTAATGGCGTGTCCAAAAAGTAGGTCAAAATAAAAAGTTTCCAAATTTAACGTATGAATTATGAATTAGGGGTAGACTTTTGTCAGGAATCTGAATCTGCAAATCAAATTTCGATCTGACTTCCGGTCTGGAAATTATGGCGTTTTGAAATTTCGAGAAAAATCGATCTGATGATATCCTGATAGAAAGTCAAGAATAGCAAAGAAAATATTGAAAAATCCATCCATCCTTCCATCCATCATTCCTATCCTATCTGATCGTATCCTATCCTATCTGATCCTATCCTATCCTATCCTTCCTATCTATCCTTCTTTCATATTTTTTACTTCCTATCCTCCATATCCCATCCTTTCTTCCTATTCGCTCCTATCCTTCTTTTCTATTCTATCCTATCGTTCCTTCCTATTCTATTCTATTCCTTCTTCCTATTCAATCCGCCTATCAACCTTTTTCTGGATGACTCAGCTCATTTTTGATGACTGGGCTTAAAAAAGTCTAGATCTGGAGTCTGAAATTGAACTCGTTCAATTTCCAAAATCTAGTTATTATTCCGAGCAAGTTTTCTCAATAACCGTAAGGTTTTCAGTAAAGTCAGTCATTTGGTCAATTTAGGTCCAGAATCTAGTTCCTCGGAAATTGGGTCAAATTTTTATCTAGGTCAAAGGTCGAGAACTAGGTCAAATCCAGTACTTTGTCACTTTTTTCGATTTTCTCGGTTGTCCTTCAATATTTTCGATCCGGGTTTTTTTCATTGTGTTCCTTATAAAAAAGTAGGAAACCTAGGGTCGATTTAGTTTTTTGATATCTCAAACCGATTTCGAGATATCAGTGTCCGAAAACGAGGTCCAAAAGAAAGTTCTCCGAATCAAATGTCCAGGATATTAGTCTTATAGGAAATTTTCTCAGGATTCCGAATCTGAAAACGAAATTTGGATCTGACTTCCAGTTCGGAAGTTATGGCGTTTTTAAAACTCAAAAATCGCTAAATTTGGTGCCCATGTTAAGTCAATGGGAAAAAATATTTTTTTGAAGTAAAAAATACGGAATATAGACTGAGTTCAGCTTCATATAATCAAAGCCTTTAAAAGAAGGGGACCTCAAAAGCCTACTTGCTTCACAATTTGGACACCGAAATGCCTAGGTCAAAATCTAGGTCAAATTCATAGGTTTTCCTTATTTTTTCGATTCTGACACTACACTTTAATTATATTCTTCGAAATTGTGTATACATGTAGCCAAGAATATGCTAATAGTG